CATCATGGCAATACCACCTAAGGCTGTCAGGACACTCGGAGTTTGGTAAGGCCGTGCATATTGCCTTCACTAAGATCAACCCAGCCGCTTAGCTACTTCTAGCCTAGTGGAGGCTAGTCTTGGGCAGCATATATATGAGACTGTACTGGATGTATTTAGGAAAAAGGATCAGTCTCCAACCCTGTTTTATTTAGAGTTGTAGATGTTAAATAAACACTAAAACGTCAGAGTGCCAATGTATTCAGTCTCCTGAAACATGCAAACACCACCAAATTTCAGCCCTTCCCAAATCTTCCATAAGGATTTTAATTCGGTACTTCTATTTTTCTAGACCCACAAAATACTAGCTGCCAATTCTACCTGAGGGGCTGTATTTATATTTTATTGTTTCAGATCCCTAACTGGATCCGAGGCTCGATGCACTGGCCCTTGCTATCAAGTGAGCACTCACACAGCTGGTGTGAGGACTCCTCCCTCCCCACCAGTAGGAGAGGGGAGAAAACAGGAAAAGGAGAAAGAAAATTCATTTGTCGAAATAAAGCCTTTTTGTCTGTAAAGCTCTATTGCCTTCAGCTATTAACAGCCATTTTTTTCTTTTATTTTGTGGGAGAAAGAAAGACAGAAAATGATCTTTCTTTTGCTCTGAGAAAATTCCTCAGTGGACATGTGAAATATTAAGAATCGTCATATTCCCTCCCTCACCTGTGTTTCTCATGAAGTTGCAATAATAAACCAAAATAACTTCTGTGGAGGAACATTTTGTATTAAACCTTTATTTCCAACTCTGCAGCACCATGAACTATACCAAAAATGAGAGGTATCAGAGACATTTTCTCACTATAAAGGATCTGCGTCAGCCATGTCATCATTTGTTTGGAAATTGTTAGATAGGCTAAAACTCTCTTCTGTGAAAGAAATAGTATGTATCAAACCCCCCCATGAAATTAAACCACTGTAATGTTCCCTATCTTTTTTTCCTTGAAGACAACTGTTCATTCTTCATTATTTCACTGATTGGTTTATGGCATTTTAAGGTTTTGCATTTTTAAGGGTTATTTTTTTTCCACAACTACTGACACGTTTCATTAAAAGCTAAGATTTTTATTTAACCCAAAGATATTAGAAGCCTAAAGCCTGAAGAAAAACATCAAACTGAAGGAGACCTTTGAAAGGACAGCAAGGACAGGCAAGCTTTTTTACAGCCCACTCTCTATTTTTCTCAGAAGCCAGGAAATGGTATCAGAAGGCCTTGATTGCTGGAGAAATGCTTTTTCCTTTGTCATCAGCACTAAAACACTTAGTCCAACAGCTGAATATAATGCTCAAGGGTTCACATACAAAGCTTTTTTCCCTGGATATTTTGTCTAAGTAGGTAAGACACATAGCTGAATATACTACAGAGCATATTCAGTAATTGATCATTGGGAACATATCCCTATATTTTAGAGCAATGGCAAATGAGGGCAAATATCCCTAGAGGAGTATCTATAATTAGAAATGCTTATAGAGTTGTTATACCGTGGTGGCAAAATAAGAATTGAATTTTTAGAGGTGCATTTTACCCATGTTTTCCTGACTGAGTACTTTACCTTGCTGTACAATTAGTCTGATTGCTTTCTGCAGGGTTGATAGCACTAATTGTTACAGCTGTGGGTGCTGGAGAAGAGAAATTTCTCTGCTCCCTGGAGAGGAGCCCCGGGAGGAGGGTAAAATGTCAACATTTTGTTTAGATTTATTCTTGTTTAGATTGAGGACTGGAATTTGTCAGGTTCAGCAGAAAGAATGCCATTAGCTTTGACAAGTGCGTGTGTGTGGATTTGTTGGGTAATCTATTTAGGAGATGTAAAATGCTGCACACACTTCCCATTTTATTGCAAAAAGCTGAAATTGACGGTACCTGTCAAAAGCTATCATCTTCCACTCTCTAAAAGAAAATTGACCCTTGCTTTCTCTACAGTATCCTTCAGTATTACAGCAGGTCCACCTCTCCTTTAGCTAATACTGCTTCAGCAAACAGAAGTGGGGATTGAAAATATAATTAACTGAAGTCCAGAATTTGCTGTATTGATGTCCACTGGCTGAAGATTATTGCCATGTTTTAGGAGCAACTCTTTATCCAGAAGAGCACTACACATATCTATGTTTCTACATAAATAAGACTAAATAATAAAGTAGGGTTGTTTAAAAGGTCTGATGTTACAAAAACAATCAGGACTACAAATGAATGTTTTATACCATTAAAAATGCCTGCAAAAATCTACTGGAAAAGGCAAAATTAACTCGTAAACTGCACAAACAGTATCAGAAACAAAGACCTCTAAGAGCTATTGCTGCAGCTGTGTGTCTGGAAGGAAAATCCTTGAGAAGACTGGCAATATTAAAATAGTATTTGCAATATTCCTGAATAGATCTTTTTCTTAACAGCTCTTAAAACATAGATTTACTTATTCACAAAAGCTATGTGAGCTTTTTGGCATATCTACCATCTTCTTCAAGGAATAATTATACTCTTTAAATTCCTAAAGCCCGTGATTAGTTCCAGCTTAGGATTTTATATAATATACTACTTTGTGGTACCTAGTCAACCAAAGGTGTCATAGAGACAATTATAGTGTCTAGAAAGAACATTACATTCTTTATTGTGTTGTTTCCAAATACGTTACCTAAAAAAATTTGTAGAAGTCCACAGCTCATGCCTCTTTTTACTTTTATAGTGTATTGTGGTAATTAAATACTCAAATGCTTGTAGGAGAATTAACTCTTCCGACTTCTAATCCTGGCTGGGAAGATTTATTCTTCATTCATTTGTATGCACGTGACAATTCAGCAAGGCTCAAGCACTGACTTTTCCAGTTTTATATGATATGCCTCATGATTTCCCTGATAACTTTCAATTATACTCTCTTCTCTGCCTGACCTCAGAAACTTTTAATCTTTAGGATGAAACTTTGGTCCCTGCCATTCTAATTTCACTGATCGGGTGCTACATTTACAGGTTCTTAGGAAATTCTCAGTGCTAAAAATCCCAAACACACACATGCTCCTTGTTATCAATTTCACAAGATTTAACCTGATATCCATTTCTAGATTCTCCTTCATTCCTGACAGAGACTCTTGCCAGCGTGGATCCTGACTGCAACATGGAATACTGTAGCACAGACTGTTTAGGAAAATAATTTATAGGAAAAGTATGCAGACAATTAACTTCAATGACATAAATCTGGACAACCTTGCTACACATTAATAGTGACAATATGCTGGAACATACCAGTGTTTAGGATTGAATTAAATAGTAATGGACAGATTGTCTCTACCAGCACCATCCTGTGCATAACGTAGCACACAGCTGTGCCACGCTGAGAGGAGCTTCGGGAGAGAACCATAACCAAAGACCCAGCTGCTTTCATTCCTCCCCTCCTTGCTTCCAAGGAAAACAAACTACACTGTTTCACTCCTGGCAGGAGATACATTTTCCTCCTGTTGATTATCTGGTTTGCTCTGAGTAATCGATACGCTTCCTGTGGCTCTCTGTCCGGAAAGCAGCAGCCGCAGTGTGGCTGGTGATATGAAAAAGATGTTTTGAGCACTGTTCTCCATCTAACAGCATGCCTGGATGTATTTGTATGGACCATATTATGACCCAGTATCTTTAAGAGCCTAATTTTGCTGCACTTACAATGGCATAAAATATTTCCTGAATTCATAGATTATAGTTTCTTTCCAAAGGTGATCAAGCACCTGTCAAAAGGGCAGATGCTTTTCTGGATTTGATGCCAATAAAGGAGGAAGAACTTGGCTGCTGTGACCAAGAGACAGTAGTATTTGGGCAAAAAAGCAGAATTACAGCATTGGATTAATGAGAAGAGAATCTGACCTGTTAAGGAGTCTCAGAGATCAGCCTGGAAAACTAAGAGACCCTAAATTCCAAAACTTTCAATTTATTGTTTTTTAAGCTGTGTTTGTTCATCAATAAAGTAGCAAGTGACATACTATTCTGCATCAGTTCTATGCAAATAAATTAATAAAAAAAAAAATTAGTTGGGGACATTTTTATTGATTCTAAGATAAGTTTTAAGTTTCTGAGAAATCCAATTCCACTGAAGGTCTAAAAGAATTAATCATACATGATTGTATGCAGTATGCCCAATGAAGAAGTAAAAATGAATGCATTTCTTCACAAACGGATCATCATGCAACTTACAATGACTTCTGATCAGTAGAAAGTTAAATTTATACGTCTTTCTAAGGTTAATGAAATGCTGAATGTGGTCAGCTCGCCTCTATGGTACTTTAAAAAGATACTTAGGAGACGCTCAGAAGAGCAATCGTCGTTTGAAGTAGGAGGTAAGAAGAGTAACTCTTTTTGTCCAGTCACACCTCTTAGCACCCCGCAGATAATCCAGTTCCATCGCCAGCACTACCAGGCAGGAGGGAAGGAAAAGCAGAGCAAGGAAGAGCCACTTCAGTGCTGTACGGACACGGGGCTGAGCATTTTACTGATTGTGGTCCGGGACGAAAGGCGATGGACAACTTCTGCACAGGGAGGCACCGGACGAGGAGCACTTCCAGAAGGGTGAACTACGATTCAAAGCGGCAGCATTTGCTGGGAGTGAAAGTATAAACACAATGAAACATGTACAGACATCGGCTGAGGTGCAAGCATGTAAATTTTAAAATGCATTTTTAGAAGTTTATTTTTTCTTCCCTCAGATTAATTACGCGTTGTCCTTTACGTATCACCCCCCACCTCCTTTCTAAAATCCTGTCTCCGGAAGATGGGCAGGAATAATTTCCGTGTGGCCTGAATTTCCCTGTTTTCCCCCCTCCTGACTTATTCGTTAATGCATTGATTATCCCTAATGTCTACATTTGATTATCCCTTATCGCTCCGTTTCCCGCTTATCCCGGCTCGCGGCGCGCCTGCCTTAGCCGCGAGGGAGGAGGCGCTTCGCGCTCCGTCCTGCCGCGTTTGCTTGTCCCTCCGGCCGACCCGTAGTGTTCGCTCCTCTTCTCGCCATCATGGAGGGCGCTGCGGCCTCCGCCGAGGGCCTGCGCTACGCCGAGTACGCGCGGGCCCCTACGGGCGCCGGCAAGGGCCAAGCCGAGCTGGACCGGGGGCTGGTGAGCGCATGGCGGGACCCCCACCCGGGGCCATGAGAGCGCTACTGCCCCCGTTCTGCGCTGCCCTGCGGGCCGGGCAGGGAGCTTGGGGGACAGAGGGTGCTTGGCTCGGTGCCGCGCATGCAGCAGGCGTGGCGTGCCAGCCGTGAGGGGAAGGGGGCACACGAGGTTCGTAAATGCTCGTGGTCCCAGGATCGACGGAAGGCAGGGGCTCCACAATCAGAAAGTTGTATCACAGTTGTATCGATGCGTAACACGGCGTGGAAATGTTCGCTCTGACCTACTGCGTAAGGACACGGCAGAGAGTTGTGGATAAAGGGGTAGGGTGAAAGGGAAGAGAGAAAAGAAGATGTGAATTAAAGAAGAATAGAAAGACAAAAAGAAAGAGAGGAAAAATGAGAGAAAGAGAGCGAGAGAGAGTAAACGAGATCACCAGTCCTGGTTCCAGCCTCATTTCAGCTGATGAAATGTCCTGGGGGCACCTGGGGTTACATGTATGGATATGTTTTCTCTGCCAAGACGCCAGATTTCTTGCTTTCTGCCCAGTTCTGGAAACAGGCTGGAGAGCTTGGGAGGTCTTTGGTGGTCTTGATCCCCCACTGCAGTCTGTGCCCACTTTGCTTCATCCTTGCACTGTGATGTGTTTATCTCCAGGAACTAGAACAAGGAAAAGCGCTGCCCTACCTCTGCATGCGCCCCTTCTCCAGACACATCTTGTTCTTTCCCAGGGCATGTTAATACCAACAACCCTTGGTGATTACCAGCAGTTCTTGTCTGTCACTACCAAGAGTCCTTGGTTGGCTCCACAGCCAGTGGGTGTTTGGAGCATCCACATTAGCTCCTTATATTCTGGGCTTCCACAGCAACTCATGGGAGCACTTTAGCCTGAGCATATGCAAAAAAGGCTGAAAACTTGTTCCCTGCCATGAAAAGGTGATACCTGACGTGTTTTCACCCACTGTGCAAATGTTACTACCACTGGCAGGTTTGAATCTTGAAGGTTTCGTAGAGCTCTGTTTCAGAAAAGTAATTCTCATCCAGTACTTAGTAATGTGGGAAAGGCTGGGTGGAGGCAGAGTGTCTCCAAAGTTTCCTATGCTGCATCGTGCTCTCGAGGAAAGGATGCTGCGACTTTCTCCCACTTTTTCATTCCTGCCACTTCAGCTAGTTCAGAGAACTGTGAGTTCCCATTGAAAAAGATGATTGGGAAAAACACACGGCTTAAAGGTCCAGATGGTGAAATTTTCACATTTTTTAAATGGCTTAAAAGTCTTACTTGCCTAACCTAATTGTGTATGTGGAGTTGACTCTACAATATTTCTACTTTTTTAAAACACAGTTTTAAAAATCACAGTTCTCTAAGTTATTTATTCATTGTTACTACAGTCTAGGACTTTTTTTTTTTCCCCATAGAAGAGTCTTCTTATGTTTTAACAGCAAGTAAGTAATCTTAAGAAGCTGTCTCTGAAACTCCTTATTGTTATGGCCGTTCTCCCTGTGGAATGCTAGCAGGGAACTCCTAGAATTTTGTCTAGTCTTTGGGCCTTCTTACCTGTCTGGGATAAAAGTTGCATTTGGAGTTAGCGTGGCTTGCTTTGTTGTTGTGAGTATTGTCATGTTCTTACTGAGGTCTGAAGACTGAGGTGGGGCTTCAGAGGACTAAAATCTGGACATCTACAGTTTTCTATAGAAATTTATTCTTTAGTCCAGGGTATTAGCTGAAAGTCACTTGATCAGGGTCACATTTACTCTTGTGGTTGTATTACAAAAGAATTTGGAGCAATGGAAGAGCAGTAGCATCCTCAAAGATCATCCATAGGAGCCTTTGTTAATTAATACATACTGAAGAAGATTGATTTGAATACCTTATTGTAATTTTTCTATTAGTGAATCTTGCCCTGATTCAATTTTGTTTGAAAATACCACCTGGAACTGTAGCGGTAGCTTTATGTACAAACCAAAAAGGTTGCTGTAAATTAAAGGACACAAAATGACATGAGAATTGTGTCAGTATGGAAAACAGCATCTAGCTGAAATTACTTTTAATTCACGATTGGAAAACAAATTAAATTTCATAGGAAGGACAAGACTGGGGGGAAAACACTAGATTATGAAATCAAATCAGTTGTGCAGAATTTATAATATAATCCCACTTCAAAATGCCTCCATATAGTGTTAGTAAGGTGGTTTGCTCTAGAGCGGTATTTCGATAAACTGTAGCTACTCTTCTGAGGAATAGAAGCATTATTCTATCTTCCATACCAAACAATCATTTATATTTCAAGTCAATAATTTTTATTTAAGGGAATATCTATTTGCAGAAATACTTTTGCACACTTTGTTAATATACTTGTGTCTCCTACTTCTTGGCAGTGTACAGAACTAAAAAAAAACCCACAACAAACAAACCAAACAGTGAAAATTTTCAGTTAAGCAATATGTACTTGTGTATTTATGTGAATATAGCTACATACTTCCTATTTTGCTGGTCCATGATTAACCATGGATTAATTGCAAAATGTCATTCAACCCGTGAAAAAAAATTATTATTTTCTCTCTACTTTTTATTCTGTTCTGCTCACTGAGGCAAATGACTGTAGGGCTCCTGCTGTGTATGTGAAACTTAGTGGTGAGGAGAGCAAAATATTTTTAATTTGACTGAGAAGGGTGTTCCACAGGCTGTGGTAGAGGAACCAGTATAAAATCCAAATCCTATGCAGGCAGATAGGTTTTAACATTTGGAAAGCATTAGCATTTGTAGCCCATTGTCAGATGTAAGAGTGTTGTGCTGAAGTTTTAAAATGATGCATTTGAAATTCTCCTTTTGTTTTTATATTTAACTTTTTTTTACTTCATAGACGCTCTAATGCTAAGAATTACATATGTAATTTTATTTTTTGGATATGTTTAAGTTAGAAGGGCACCTTGCATTGAGGATTTGCAAAAATAATATCTCATCCTCACCTGTTTCTTCTGCTAAAAAGTTAAGGCCACTGGAGAATTAAAGGAATAGGCAGAAAATCTCTGTTCTCCAACATACTGTGTGTTAATATGCTTTATCTCTTTTGTTTGCCAAATGCTTAGGTAAATCAGGTCTTGTAGTTGCCTTTCTAATGCTTGTGTTTTCTTATAATCATATCTGAAAAGGATTAAGAAAATTCAGGTTTTACGGATTTAGCATAACTTTTTCATTAGTTTCCTTTAACAGGGTTTGTTGCCGAAGACAGAATTATATAGTAAAATTAAAATACCAAGATCAGCAGAATAGCATGGAGTTGATGACTAACCTTTGGGAGCTGATTCATTGAATAAAGAAAGGGACAGATGTTAGTTTTTAATATTCTATTTCTTTATTTTTCCCTCTTGGATCTTAACGTAATGATTTCATTTAAAATCCACATCTTAGAGGTTTCTTAACAGCATTTTTGGAGGGGGAGGAAGGTCAATTCTGTCATAATTGAAAGTCAGTGTGTATGCAGTTATTTATTTATCCCTTATGAAGTGCAGTTTCAAGCAATAGGAGACAAAAATGATCATGGTGGTATTTGTATTAGCATGCTGTAAATGAACTGCTGCCTTCCACAGAGAGAGTGAGTTGCTTTCATTTAATATTGACGTGAAAGGAGTGCATTTAATTAAAGCTTTGGACTTTACATTTCAAAGCACCAGCCTAACCTTGACTGATTCTTTTAAATATTCAACTGAATTGAGTGAGCATGGAAAAGGAAACTGAGTCAGGTTGGACTTAAAGAATTTACTGGTTAGTATTTGAAGTTGCCAATGTTTTTATGAGAGTCTGTGTCAAGAAAAAGCCAAACCTGCAATCTCACACTGATCCAAATTCCATTTTTATCACATATATATGGTTAGAATGCATGTATACCATAACAAACATTCAAGATGCTTTGATGTGTCAAGTTATCACTTATGTGCTAATATGTGGCAAGAGACTCTTCTCTAAGATGCTTATAATGCAAATACATTGAGTTACCGTAAACCAGTATTTCTCAAGATTTTCTGTTGCCTGTACCTTACTTAAATGTGTGGACAGTCTTTCATTCCTCTCTGGCTTGAGGTTTGTACCGCTTCTATGAAGTTTTCTGTCGTGTTTTCATTTTCCCCTTGGTCCTGCATCCAGCTTCTATTCAGGGGCTGCTGCTATGATTTGTTTTTACCTGCTGTATTCCTGGCAACAGTGGCTTTCCTGCAGCTGTTGGTGCTTTCCACTGAGATTGGACTATAGCATTCCAGCAGACATGGCTGACTCTGTCAAAGGCCCTCAGGGGTCTCTGCATTGTGCCCCCTTGTGCAAAAATACTTAAGCTACTTCTACACTGAGCTGACAGAATCTTGCTATTATTTATTTGTCTCTGCTTGGTCTTGCCTGTCATGAGCATGAGGTGTCTGCTGCTAATGCCTTGTTGGAGCCTGCATGTCTTGTAAACTGGTGACTTAAACCACCTTTCTGGTGGCAAAGCAAGTATAACTTAATTTGGACAATCACAGGCTAATAATTATTTCCTTTTTTTAATTTATTTATTTTTTTTTGCCAGCATCATCTCTTTCACACATTGTTGAGCTCTTAATTGACTGTAACCACTTAGTAAAAGATTCTTGCTGTCAGTATAAATAAGTCAGGGAAACTCTTGAATATTAATCCACGGTCACAAACCACAGGACAGAATACTATGGAATTCCTATAGGGTTGTGCTATTTCCAGAAAGGTCGCTGTTTGTGGTTCATGTCCAAGTGAAGGAATTTTTTTGAATGTTTGAATATTGAGAGCCTGGGAAATCTGATTTGTGAGAAGAAATGAAAAGAGTTTTAGTTTAGTGAGGAGATGAACCGTATGCTTTACAATTCTACATCATCTACCATTTACGATAACATGCTTAAACTTTTTCCTGGGGAAAAGATGAGAGGAAATTTTGTGGAACTGAAAGGAACAACAGACATAAAGCTACTACATTATTTTTACATTCAGAAATGAATGCTAATATTGAGACTGAAGACTACACTGAAATGGAAGAGCTAGATTACTAAAATGTAATATATATGCCTAAATGTAATATTTGCCTAAATGTATAGGCAAATTTCTAAGGCAAGAATTCCTCCTCAGGTAGGTGGGAGGTCCAGATGCTAGATCCAGAGGAGTACAGCTGCTTCTCGGAGACCTCAGAGGAGGCTGCGACTTCTGTCCTGAGTTCACAGCCAAAGCTGTAGGAGCCACTAAGCATGAGGGCAGTGCCTGCATCGTGCACAGCTGCCTGTTTGCTGGGCAAGTTGCCAACCCATGATCTAGGCCCTACTAAGCCAGCTCTAGGAAGGCTTTGAAAACAGTAGTTCTGAACTCTTCCCCTGCTCCCACAGTCTAGAAATGAGGTTGGGTACAATCAAAACCAGAGTATTTTAGCCCCAGAAACCTTAGTGGCAAAGGCATTTTGGCTCCAGATGCAGTTATTAGGGCATTCATATTGAAGTTGGAGCTTTAAAATCCTGTCAGAATTGCTTGTATAAAACGTATAAACCAGTTATGGGATAATTGTGGAAGTAAGTCATATATAGAAGAGATAGTCTCATGATAAAAGCATTTTTACTGCCATTATGTTTTGAATTCAAGATAAACCTAATCTGATTTCTCAGGTTTCCCGGGGGAAAATTCAAGGCATTATTGAACTGTCATATGATAAGACAGGTAATGCCGCAGATGTTTATTTCCTTTGTTTCAAAGATTACATGGAGGCTTTTCAGAAGTGGAGAGCTTGTTACCTTTCCTGAATTCTGCAAACATGTGAGAAGTCAGTCCTTTCTTCAAGGCGTACTTCATGCCTTTCATCAGCTTCTTCATCAACACAGGGATACTTCTTACTCTTCTTGAAGTGCCTGACTTTTTCAAGCACTGTGTAGGAAAATACATAACACCTGATGGGAGTTTTGTTAGTTCTTCATGTTTTTGTAATAAACTGATACTTTGTTATGTACTGTATTGAACTAGTCTGCAAAAGTAATTTTGAGTTATCCTGTATGGCTGTGCGCCTTGTGTTTTTATCAGTGCATACTATTAGCTGCTTTTAATGTATGTTCACTGATTTGCTAGTGGGTACTTCAAGTTAAACCTGATGTATTGGTGTGGGTTAATATAATGAACTATAAAATCTAATGCAGCCTGTGGAATACAGAACTTACTTTGATCCCTTTCATAAGTTATAAATGAAATGTCCACATCAGACATCAGAAATACTCATTGTTACAGTAGAAGGTACATATATACCAAATTAGGACTTGCTTGTTATTCTGATTCCTGTTTCTCTGCTTTAGGCCAGGACTATGATAGCACTTGGGCTTGGTGTTGCGACTTTTGCATTTGCAGGTAAGGTAAATTACCAGTGAAACTCTCACTTGTGAGCTGCAGTTTCTGAAAGGGTTAAGGAAGTTTTTATGAATATAAATAGTGGAAAGTGGAAAGGTTACTTGAGAGTACTATGGAGAATTATGTCCACCTACAGTTCCTGTCCCTTCAAAGTCATAAATTCCGAAATTATTTTTGAAAAAGGTGAAGAAAGCTGAAGAAGGTAATTTTTTTGACAGCAGCTAAAATGCTCCATCTGCTTTTTGTCTGCAAAATAAAAGGCAAAAAGTTTATTTACTTAATAACATACTGCAATGTGGAGGCCCTTTAGTACGGAAGAGTACAACAAGATGCTGTGATGTGAAGGTGATGCTCTACAAATTGAAACAGAGGAAAATAAAAGGTTTTAGTGACTATCGTGATTTATCATACTAACTGTTTCCATACTACATTGTTTATTACTCTGAAAAATAGGTTCTAGTTTGAACACAGGGCATGAGTTTAACACGAAATAATGGTTAACAGAAAGCATTAAGAAGAGAATGAAGTAATGGTACATCACAACATTTCAACAGAGATACTCTAATGTGGTTTTAAATTCTGTGTTAACATAGGCACATGCTTAGATCGCTAAAACTTACAGACACAATATGTGTTTTAAGAATGAGTGTGAGATGCTATTTGAATGAAGCAGATCCACATTTTATAAATAGTTTTTCTACTGTGTATAATAGTAAGTTACATTGCTAAAGAATAGTTAATAAGAAGAGAGGATTTACATGGAAAATCCTCCAATAACATGGCATAAATCTTGATTCTGGTGTTGATAGACCTTCTTTGTACTTCTGGGAACACAGCCTTACAGGAATACCTCCAGTCTTTCCTAGGTATAAGCATTCAGTGCTAGTGGGGAGTTGAATGGTTCTGAATCCCAAAAGATCATCTTTTTGCAACAAAATTAAAAATGCAGCATGTACAAGGTGTGTAATTAACCATACAGCATCACAGCAAGAAATGTGTAGTACATGGATTTCTTTTTTTGAAGATACAACCTTTGAACAGTATTTAATAAATAATGTATTCCCAAAGCTAATGTTTCAAGCCACCGTTTTTCTTAAAGTTCACAAGGAGATATCTTCATTTACCGTATTGAAATGTATTTAAAACTATTTATTAGTGAGTTAAATAGTGAGTAAGCACAATGGGTCTTTGCAGTCCAGGACTAGGTTTTTAGATGCAGTATACTAAAAATTCTCCCTCTCCCAATAGTTAGGTTTTTTTTTAAACCAAAATTCTTTCTGCTATAAGCTGGTGGACATAAGTTTGAGCTTGTTTGTGGGTTGATTTTTTTTATTTTTGCATTTCAGTGAATATTTTATTTAACCTCCATCTTTTTCAGGTCGTTATGCTTTCCGTGTTTGGAAACCATTGGAGCAGACAATTACAGAAGCAGCAAAGAGGATTTCAACTTCTGTAAGTTTAGATACTACTTCATGCTAAATTTATGATTTTGTATTTCAGGTATTCAGAAAGGAGACATTTTATGTTAAATAAAGTTAAGTGCCAGGTAGATAATTTTTTTCCTAGGATAGGGATGCACCCTACTGTGTAAGTTCTGGCATGCTGTCTGGTATATTTTAAATCCCTGTGGATGAAGCTGTATCAAACAATGTTTATGAGTTTGATAAACTCAGTTGCAGTTTTTTCTGCTGATATTCCTTGTTTTAGAACCCATTACTAGTAAGTATAAAGATAAATTGTTCAAGTACGCTGTGAGAAAGTCACTAATTCCTAAATACTGCGAAGTGATGACATGCAGTTTTATTTCCAGCAGCTAAAAGTGAAAGAATTTAGTATTTTAGATACAGTGTTAAAAATCAAGAAGACAAATTGATTAACTTCTAGGATGGGTTGCCATGGAGATGGGAGAGCTTATGTGCTGGTTAACATATGAGTTGTCTTTTTCTTGTTCCCCAGCTAATTTGAACTTTCAACCAGGTTTTTGTTCTTTGGTTTTGCCCTGTTGGTTAAAAAATACAATAATGAGGTGAAAAATCAGGAAGTAGAGTGTTGTGGGGGATGCATATGCAGGGAATATTTGAGAGTGTCTTCTTACTGCTTCAGTGGCTATGTTTTCCTCTGGTAAATAAATGCATGTGTTCCATCCTGCTTGATGGAAGTAATTCCCAATAAGATAGATGTCTGCTTGTAGCAGTGTGTTCCTTCAGAGTTCATAGTCTGTGTACACTTAACCACTGCAAAAGAATGCTATTCCCTTCAGGATGCTGATGGGTGAGCATGTTCAGGCAGTAGTTGTTGCAGATTATTATTTTCTGAAAAATATACTAAAGGTAGTTTTTTTTAAACCATGATTTTAGCATTATACCTACTAATGTTAGGCCAGTTGCAACACAGAGCCTGTCTAGACAGACACTGTGGTCCAAATTTATTTGCCATCTGTGCTTGGTGTTCCTGTGCTAAAGGTACAAGCTTGATCAAGGCAAGCTTCCTGGGGAGGAGATTCAGTTGTCCTTTTGGGGCTGGTCCACATTTGCTTTTGCTTGCCAGAAACAGTGCTCCTGGAAAACTCTTTTTGCTCTCTGTCCCTCTTGTTGCATTGCTGTTGTGAGACCAATGCCAAATTTTTTTTTCCTATTAAAAAAAAAAAAAATAGATTTTGAGATATTCCCAAGTTGCCTGCCAAAACAACAGAGGGAACTTGAGGTACTGTGAATTAAATTGCTTTCAGATAATACAGATGCAGGCTGACTTGCAGGCTTGCTAGATGTAGCTAGCAGTACATGTGGCTTCAGAGTATGGAGTGCTTCAGTCTTCACTCTCCCTCCCTAGCAGTTTTACTCTAGCAATTCTTTTTCTATCCATTTGTAGATATAGGCTAGAGAATCTAAATTCAGATGCATTCACATAAGAAGGCAGGCAGTGACTCTTCTTTAACACATTGAAATGTGACATGCTACTGCACGGAGAGGTGTCTGTTCCTAGGAAACTGCACCCCTCAATACTGACTGAGCCAAGCTCATTACAGACCTATCTCATTTTTACCACAATGACTTTGACTCCTGCAGAATTCATGAACAACCATAAAGAGCAAACCAGGAGCTTCTGCATTCTAAGTGTTCCTAGTCCCTGGAGCAGTATCCTCTGTCTGCCTTCACATCCTGCCTTTCTGCCCAGAATTGTGTGTTGTTTTCCAGTAGGGTATCTCTTCTGCTATTCTATTTCTGAACTTGAAAATGCAAGTTTTCAGTGTAAGATGAGCTCTACTGGAGACAGTAAAAACTCTCTTCCTGTTTGCCATTTATTTTGTATGTTTGCTGGCTCTATATTTGTGAGAGGATAGTGATAATATTTTTCTTCTACAGCCATGGTCCAAATTGAAGATACTTCTAAAATTCTTAGCCAAATTGATTTGATTTTTACTACTGTACAGTTACTGCTGTCTTGGTTTGTATTTTTTAATACTTTTTTCTTCTCCCTTTAACAATGAATTTTTTTCTTTGAAACAATAGAGAAAATATTAAATGCAAAGGTCCTATGTAAGTGCTTGTTCTTCAAACTGCTTTTAGTAGTTTTACATTACTTTGTGGAATTTGAAGCTGCTGGGTATAATTTGTGAATTAGCACTTTTGTCATGTTTCTTGACAGCTTATTGCCCTTTACACTGTATTGACAAAGGTTATCAAGCAGTTGGTACTTCTTCCTGTGCTTACTAGAAAAAGTATCTCGTGACCCTTAGTGTCTGGGCTCAGTGTTACTTTGCTGGCTTTCTATGCTATTTGAAGGGACCTAACTTGGTCACTGTAATTTTCAGTGCTTATTCTAGCTTTCTAGAATGAAACCTTGTCCCTCATGGCCTCCTTTTTCTTGAGAGTCTGTGAAAGCTGCCTGTTTAAAATGTAGCTGCCTCCCTCTGTATGCCCTCACTCTTCCTTCTCCTTTTACAATGCATCCCCTGCTCTGTTTGCAGTAGAAATCAGAGTTGATGTTGGTCCCTCCCAATCAGACAAGGTAATACAGATGCTGTTTATTCTTTTTGTCTGCTCACTAATAAATGACTTGGGAAAGGTCAAGCTGAGCAATTACGAAGTGATCATTTAAAATGCTGCTTGCTGTATCTTGAGGATTTTACATTTCAGATTTACTTATATAAATAAGTAACGTGTTCAGTCAACAACTGCACTTAATCTCTTTGTCAGAAATAATAAGCAGAGACAAGTAACAGCTTTATTCTTAATTTTTACCTCTCATTTAAGATAGTTACTTCATATTTAAGAATATATATTTGTAAATGCTTCTGTAATTTAGTCTTGAAATTTTCTACCATCTTTCTTTTAGTGGAGAGGGACACCAGAGGAAACATTGTCATTTCCACCCTATGACAAGTCATAATGCCTGCTCCCACAGAAGTGATTTTTTAGTTTGAGCATAGTTTTGCCACTGGTGTTGCAAATGGCAAACAGGGACACTGTTTTGTTTCTGTGTGTAGTGAGAAGAGTCTGTTGCTGCTAGAAGGTGCATAGCCCTAAATAGTCATTTGGCTTGTCTTCCTCAGAATTAATGCCATTAATTATACTATTAATATTTCCTTAAAGTGTGAAATAAAGAAGCAGGTATTTTAGTAGCATTCATTACCTTTCTTTGTGGAATCAATGATATTGAGGATTGAAAGACAGAGAGACAAATAGGTAGAAGATATTGAAGACAGAAACAGCAATTCTAGGCCAGATGAACTGCTAAAATACTCAAATCCCACAGCCATGAGACTCTGTGTTCTATAAGAAAATGATGTCTTCTGTAGCATGTCATTACGTTTTCTCACTGCACTTCCCTTATTGGATCTGATTCTGCTCAGACTCAGAGAGTTCTTGATTGAGAGGTAAGGGTAGCAGCCATCTCTCTTGTCCTTAATTGAAAATAAAGTTTCCAGAGAACAGTGCAGTCCATTTTATAAGATTTCTTTTCTAACTAAAGTTAAGGAAATTAGAGTTGATATTAGCAAAATTGTATATTATATCACAGCATCTAAATAGTTTGTGGTTGTAGTTTTTTTCTTGTGGTTTTTTTTTTTTTTTCCCTCTGGTGTTTGTTACCTTTTTGGTGGAGGACTGTATTGGTCCTGGAGCAGCAACATATAGTTTCCAGAAATATTCAGTAGTCCATATAATGTAATGTATGATCTCAGTTTTGGTGTTTTCAGTCTCTTAACTGGCATGGAAACAGTGATTTTGCTTTCCTTGTGGTATGAAAGAAAAAGTATCTTGGAGATGTCATGGTCCCTATGCATTGGATTTTTGTATCTGGTTGCTTTTGTGAAGATCTGCAAGACTAAATAGATGTTTGCAAAGCAAGTGCAACCATTTTCTGGCCCTCCCTATGCTCCAAACCTATTAATAGCATTTGTTCAAAAAGGAGAACTCGCATAAATTCTTAAACAGTAATAATGTGCAAGGAAATTAAGTAAATTAAATGATACCTCCCCCCCTTCCCTCAAATAATATAAAAGAATGAAGAGCTCATTTCAATGATTTTCCAGTACAGAACTTTCTTTGCAATTGCTGGAGCTAATAAATAATCAGGTGTCTAGAACTGTCTGTTCATCAAGTTCTCGTAACAGAAAAATATCTTTCCAGCCATTAGAATTTGCAACTAGGAAAAAAATGTTTCAGTTTGAATAACGTGCAAAAGTGGTTTCATTAGGGAGCTAGAAATTTGCCAAGGTATTGCCTAAAATGAAGTCTCAGTGTTTCTTCCTCTTTTTTCTAACCAACAGGAAAAAGTTGATTAGAAACTTAGGAAAAATTTCCTTTTGCTTTAAATTCTGCTTAGGGTGGAGATCTTAATTTAAGAATTGATTATTGTTTCTACATCCTTCACTTATGAGAAGAAAATATTTTTTCTTGGAGACCAATTCAACAAACTGTTTTTGTTTGTGTGTGGAAAGACAGAGGTAACAGAATTTCTTTTTACATTCCTTTTGGAGGTGAACCAAGGCTTCCTAAGGTTAGAAAAGTGTCAAAGAAGTAGGCTTTAAAAACATGAAAAAATATTTCTGAATGTAAGCCTGCAGCCATCCCTCCCTAGTCTCTCATTTTAAATAGTGTTTTAGATAAAATCTACCAAGAACAGAGACAAGCTATGTTAAGGAAAATTCAAATGTTGTTCTTCTGTACATTAATAGCAAACTAGTGTTCTCCTGCATTAGAGCTGTATGTCAGAGTTGAAGGGCAGAGAAGAATTCAGGAAGCCATCTGCACCTAGACTGCTCTGGGAGCATTTGTTTCTGGAAAAACTTCAGAGAACGTTAGAGTACACTTTTCTCTTTTGCTTGTAGTAATTGTTGAGCATTGTTGCAAATTTCTGTGCAGTTTTGCTCTTCAAGGGTGTTAGCTGTTGGCCATTAAATTATTGACATCATTTCCCTCATTTCCCTTTTGAGAACCAGAGAAGCGCTGTGTGTTCCCTTAGTGTTGTACCCTCTAACCTGTCATGTCCATGTGCACTATTACAGACCTGGCTTGTGGTACCCTGTACCGCCCAGAAGCGGCTGCTCCACAGATTCTCATTGTTGGCATGGCACATCCACTATCCTTTCAATAGTGTTACCATAGTGGTTACTTTATTCATGGTTTAGGCTGGGAAGAAGGAAGACAAAATTAGTCTTGGATCATAACAGCACACTAAAAAATCTCTCCTGTGGTTGCATGTGAGTTTATGGTAGCAATTGGTGAAGTATTTCTGAACAATGCTTTTGGGTGAATATCTCTCCTAAGCTTAAAGGCTTTGCTTAGATATCACAGACAGAGCCCTTTAAATGCTATATAATGGTTTTGAAATTGTATAAGAGAGCTTGTGTAGACATAAGGCAAAATTCTCACTGAATATGAATGGCTGTATTTAGTGAGAAGAGTGTTTTTTCAAGGGCCAGGCATATTTTACTTGGGGGTAAAGGGAATACTTAAAAATAGTCTCAGCTCTTGGGCCAGACTTCCCTTTGATAGCAACAAAAGAAACTGATTTTCCCCTGGTTGATAGGTTTTGCATTGAGGAGAAAACTTCAGTGTTGTTGAGCAATTTCTGTGTGCCAGTTCCCCAAGGCTTGGAGATACATCTGGTACCTCTGGGACTTACAGAAACATTCACATTGTGATCACTGCTAACCATCAGTGTTGGGTTTTTTTCATAATTTAAAATAGAGTTATGGTTGACAAATATACTTTCAACCCATTCTCAGTGACAATTGCTGTAATGATTTTCTCTCATCTCCATCTCCTTTTTAATGTTCTTTTCCCACTGTTTTTTCTTTCCCTCCTAAAACAGTGGATAGAGTTTCATACAACAGTGAGTTAAAAAAAATTAACCCCAGATCCTGTATCTAATAGTTGTCAGTCATTGGTTCTGAAGGAAGGATGTAAAGGCTTAGGATTTCCCAACATATTTCACTATTTTCCAGTGTTCTCCAGCTCAGTGGTTTCCTGAAATGAGGAAATTGTGGCTTTATGCTAAGCCTTCTTTTTTTTCTTTTTGTTTATTTTCAGAGTTCCTTCAAAGAACTCATAATACATTTTTTTGAAGTAATGTGGAAAATCTGTTCATGTGGAAATCTGTTCTTGTCTCTGTTGGGGTTTTTTACCTACTTTCTTTGTAGAAATATCTGGAGTAATTGTCCATAACATCCATAGATGCCAAAGTATTGTCACTTTTGGCATTTTCCTTTGCGATGGTACCAGTGCTGTTCTCAAGAATTATCCTACTTTCCCTCCCATGCCCTCCCCAACACATGCACTGTACCTACCATCCTATGCTGGTATGTGCTTTGATTCCAGGCTTTTTTGCCTGGAGGCAGGATTTTAATGGTTGTAGCTATTAATATCCCTTATTAGCAGTAGAAAATTGTGAAGACACAGGTATTTATTTTTAAGTTGTTTTTCGTATGTGTTATCACTCAGGAGAAGTCCTTTCATATTATCTGATTTCCAGTCGTTCCATGCCTTCAAAATAAATTACAGATGAATATAATGCTCTAAATGAGGTCATATAACTACAGTTTAGTCCCTGGCACCTTGTACATGAACTAATTATTGCTTTTTTTCCCTTTCTTCTAAGAGTTTTTCGTCATACTATAAAGGAGGATTTGAACAGAAAATGAGTAGGCGAGAAGCAAGTCTTATTTTAGGTGTAAGGTAAGTGTGTTGCATCAATATGTTTTTACTTTAGCAAGCACTGAATGAAGTTGATGCATGTTGCAAGAATGTGGAATACTCTTTCCAAAACAATTTTTGTAAAACCAAAACTTTTTTTTGTAAAATACTTAAATGCTTAGAAATTATTCTAATACTCTGCTTAAACTAAAAAGCAAACAATAAAATGATCATAAAACATGTGACTTTTGTTTGTATTGAAGGCATGGTAACATACTGCAGTGGAGAATTGTTCTTGCTGTACCCTGGGTCCCTTTCAGTTGAGCTACTCCCCAGCCAGGCATTTCCTACCCTATAGCATTGCAAGGGAGACTTCATCCCAAGTACCAGGCTCTGCACCTGTCCTTGTGGAAGTTTGTGAAGGGTTCCATTCCTGCAGCCTCTTGAGGTGCCTCTGAATATCAGCCCTGCCCTCCAGCATATCAGCTGTTCCCACCAAAGTGATAGACTTCTCGGCCAGTTGGTGATGTTAGAAGGCTGTATGACGTTGGTGTGACTCAGATTGTGAGTCAAGGAAAATGTGATTTTGATATTATTTTTTTTTTTCCTAGTGATAAAGAATCTTTAGAGCTTATTGCGGGATAAGCAATAGCTCATAAACCAAGCAAATTTGAAGTAAACCCCTCTTTTCACAGTTGCTTCTTTGAGCAGACCTGCATGATTGTCTGTAATATGCAATTGCCACTTTTCCCCAGCTATGGTCTGGCCATCTGAGGTTCTAAATGTGGTATAACAGCTTTCCTTTTTAGTGTTAAAAACAGCTTTACAAATCAAAATATAGATGATTGTTATTTATAGTTGTGTGATAAATCATTTTGGTTTTGTGTTTATATAATCCAAGACCTTTCACCCTCTGTTTGTTTCTTACTTTCTAGGTTACTTTCTGTTCAATTGAAGTATTCTTTTCTTAAGCAGTTCTGTGAACTATTTTTGCAACATACCCTAATTTCACTGTGACAGAATAATAATTAGAAAGGTTGTTTACCTCAGGAATTTAGTTGGGCTGACACCTTGCATTCAAGCTGTATCTACAGAAAGATTAATTAATTGAATCATCACTGATTAAGAAGTCACCTGAAGTGGAAAACACTTATTCATTTCTGCATACTAACAAATTATAAAAAACTGAACCATTCAAACTGTCCTTTTGCATACAAGAGCCTTACAGTGTTGGCATAGTGCATCAATAAGTGGTTGTTTGTCTGGTAAGGTACCTATTCTGTATTTAATTTAGGCCAAATACATATTTTATGTATGTCATTGAAGTAAACAACATTATGTAGGTAGCACCTGTAAATCAACGTGTCCCTGAATGTAACACGTTGAACAGATTTGCAAAAATAACACATACAGGCATTTTTTTTCAGGCCCCAGCAAGAAGAAAAAAAATATTTATAGCTGCTGTAAAAATATTTACAGTAGAACAAAATGTGATAATATTAAATATTTGTTGTTTTGTCACTGGTCATAAAGATATTTATTTTCTTGGAGGAAAAATTGTGTTTTCTGCATTTAATGCTAGAATAACCAACCAGATATACTCTAGAGCTGCTGGGGCTATCCTATTTTTTCCCTCCCTCAGATTTTTTTATTTTAAATGAGTAGAGGTACTGAATTTTCCAAAAACCTGAAATCTACTTGTGTGTGTCAAATACACAGGCTTTTGAAAAATGTCATTCTCTTTGCCTTACATGCCTTTGTTGTTGTTGCTTCCTTGGAGATGCAGTTTTATGTTTTGTCCACAAGATGGTGAAAATCTCAAGTTCTAATTATTTTTGAAGCCAGTATAAACTGTTAATTTTTAGCATGAGTGCTCTGGCATTTCTTGTAAGCACTTCAATTTGTTTTTGCAGTCCATCTGCTGGCAAGGACAAAATCAGAACTGCGCATAGGAAAATCATGATTTTGAATCATCCTGATAAAGGTAAATAATTTTTACTTTTCTTAAGTAGGACTGGAACGGAAGAGGCTTAAATGAGATCCTTTAAGTTTTCTAGCTGTGTAAATAACCACATCAAGTTCAAACATTTGTTTTTTATTTATTGACTTGAGCTTCTGTGTGTCTTCTCTCAGATAAACTGAGCTTTATGAACCAGTTTTACTCATTTTTCTTTAAAGTTGTTTTCTGTACTTGTGCTGCTTCAGTTAAAACTGTGAGCTCGGGGACCAGTTTTCCACACTTGGCAAAAACTTCTTTAAAAATAAGGAAAAATATGTTATAAAAATTTACATTAAACTAAAATTCCTGTTTTGAACTGTTACAGGCCAGTTGTATGCATGAAGGTAACTTTCTGTGAGGAAATGTTTTGCAGTTACTAAGTACATCATTGATGAATTTCAGACTTCATGGAATTCACTTGGAAAGAATGTAAAGCTGGGCACTGTTGCTTTACTGGCCGGATTTTAATGTAAATTTATCTTAGAGAAAGGCTATTATTATAACTTTAACTACACTACAGCTGGTTGAGAAAGAAAGCCCATATGTTCATTGCTGTTTCTACTTTAAAATAACAGATGGTGAAGAGTTGCACTGTATTTCAGAAGTCAAAAGGGGAAATCAGAGGGTTTTTATATCTTTTTGACAGAATTACAGGCTCCCTACCAGCACCCCATTTTAAGAAAATGAAAAAGTAATTGTGACCACTGGCCATGGGAAGTGTTGAGTTCATGCTTTTCTCTCTTCACCCCTCAGTTTAGTTTTAAAGCTGTCCCGCTTGTTTAAAACTTTCATTTTTACTCTTTTTATAATGTATAAGCTGCTCAGACCTAGAAAGGAAATTCTCTTCTTCATTTCTAATATATTTCAGTGGTCAAAAGTCTCTTAACCATCAGAGTCCCTATTAGGTCAAGTTTTATTAACATTGAACTTCTAAGTTTGTTGTAGCAGTATGTGGACATGTGAGCCAGAGAGAATTGTGAATCTCCATGTGGATATTGAGTAGATCTGAAGAGATGGTTCCTGTTTGAAAGATCCTAACAACCCTGACAAAGATTTTAATGCTGTGCTCTTACAGTTTTCATGCCCCTGCAGCTGGGGCATAGTGTAGATTTGGATGGATATAGTGAGCCCTCCTGCATGAAGGTGAGACAGAGCATTTTCTCAGTGGGAACACCAGTTGAGGGGATTTGTGCCTCTCGATACCCCTGAAGCTCTTCTGTCATGGCTGTAGAAAAAAACCTTGTGTAATATCTTCAGCTGCAGAGTGAGGGCCTGGAGTAATCTTGAACATGTGGCATCACAGAGAGGCTTGTTCGCTTGTGTATAGATCACTTCTGGCTGTGGGTAGCACAGATGTTCATTTAAAAATAATATTCAATGGTACAATGTAATTTTAAAATAATATTTTGCCACCTGGAGTTGATAGAAGAAAGAGCAATAATTGCAGATTTTACATTGTGTATGTTCTGAGAGCCAAACAGTTGGAAAGAGAAATATTAGAAATAAATAAGAAATATATAGAAATCTGCATAATAGCAAGACCGGAGAGTACTATTGAAATGTTTGCTTATTAATCTTCACAGTTCAGTTTTAACGTGTTTTTATATTGATACATTGTATACTATCAGTTATAAATTTTATGAAAGAACATTTCCTCACAGAAAAAAAAAAAAAAAAAAAGAAAAGAGAAAACTTTTGGACTTGCCTTAATTATAAACAATCACTTAGGCAATCATGAGATTGAATTTCCTCTCATTGGAGGGCTACAAAATTAATATGGCACTTAAGGATGTAAATGCAGTGAAAACACTTCCAACAGATTTGAATTTACTTTAAGATCCTGTATTCTAGACACTTAGAAAATCAATGCATGTTTAAAAATTGTTTGGAATGCATTGTTTATTGCATGTTTTAGTCTTTACTGTTTGTTTGATCCTCTTATCTACTCTGTGGAGGAAGCAGTAGTCAATAGAGTAATCCAATTCCTTGTTACAAAGCTACTTGATTTTAAAAAAGGAAAAAAATAACTTAATTTTTCAATGGCCAATTCATTATGCATTCCTTGCCCTGCCTCACTTTCTTCCAGTGTGGCTTATTTATTAGAACTAGAACACTCAAACATGACCAAACCATGGAATTTTTTTTTTTTTTCTGGTTGTTTTACCACACCATGAAATGACTTTGTACTGATTTGGATTCCTCAAGCAATGTCCTAAAAATGTCTTTAAGCAAGCCTCACGTTTTTATTTGTATGTGTCTACAACTAACTCTGCATGTTTCTTCTATCATTGTCTTTCCTGATTAATAGAATGAATTAAATGGTGAATGAAAAAAAAAAAATTGAACAAATGCCTTGGAAAATGCTATGCAGTGCGCAGTACTGCTGGAATCACATTTTCACATAAAAGTATAGGTGTATTATAGTAAGTGGTAAGAGACTGATATAGACCTTGCAGTGTTTTTGGTGAGTGTAGGCAGATGGTTGGCGCTCAAGGGGAGAGTGAAAAATCCCAAACACAAAAAGACTGCTGAACTGTAATCAGGTTGTTAGATGGAGCGTAGAGCAATGACAGTGTTCAGCACTAGGAGTTAGAAGGCATACCATGTTTAAATAGCTTTAATGTGATGGTTTCTGGCTGGTAACTCTGGGCATCTCACACAGGAGATGTTCACACAATAATTCTTTGTCAAAGTTATTTTAAAATTTTACCTCTCAGTTTTTAGGATGAGTGGAATTAATAGCTGCCAGGTTTGAGTGAATGTTCAGGACAGGTGACCTTGTATACATTTGCAGTAGCATCCCACTGCAGATCCAAATCACAGGCTGTAGTGATTTCATATTCCAGTCTTCTCTCTGAGACAAGTTGTTCTGTGTTATTCACAGTGATTTCAGTTTTGATTACATTTCTCATGTTTCCTTATCAATTAGCTTACTTCTTGTCAATGTCATTTGTATCAAAAGGATTTATGTAGGAAAAAGCTAATGAAAGTGAGTAATAAAGAGATGCTGCAAGTGAGGTAGTTTGGTACTTAATACTAATGTGTAAAGAGTATTCCTTTCCCATTTCTCTTCTCAGGTGGATCACCTTACTTAGCAACAAAAATAAATGAAGCAAAAGACTTGCTGGAATCCAGTGCCAAAAACTGAAATCCGAAGCCTTGGGTCACCGGAGATTCAGCTGCTCCATTGTGCAATAACTCTCATGTCTGCTTACTCTGCACAGTTTCTTAACATTGATCGTTCATATTTATTGTAATAATTAAAAGTTACAATTATTGAAAAGCAAACTGAAATCTTTTACAGCTGTGTAAAGTTATGTACAGTTATGTCCCTGCAAGGAGCAAGGAGTTGGAATGATGATTCTTATGGGTTCCTTCCAACTCAAGATGTTCTGTGATTCTGTCCCTATTTTAGTGTATTCTTACTGAATTATAATCCCTTACAAGCTTTGAAAAAGTTCTTTTAACTGTGTTTTTCCCAATATTTTTTCTTTCGGTGAACTTAGGATCGTTTAAAATAAAAATTTTTAAACAGTCTTTAATATAGGGTTGTTTCTTCATTAGTAAAGAAAAAACCCTATATTTAGGGTCTCCATAAAATCTGTGACAGTGGATTGAGTCACAGGAAATATGACCAACCTGTTTTGGCAAGTTTCAGCACCACCTTTCACTTGAATCTGTTCATTTGGGAAGTAGTAGGGTTTGTTGTGTGAGCTTAAGTTTGAGAGCTGCAGGACAAAATGACTGATAGGACTACAGAGTGCAGCTTCTACTAGGTATGCTAATGGGGCTCGGTGCTATGAAGGAGGATTCTTGGGTATGGTTACTTCTTTTACATATTTAAGGATCTCTGAAATTGTCAAGTAATTAAGACATGCTTTTACATCAAGTCAGAGAATATGTTCAATCTCTAGCAGTTGGGGTAAACATGGGGTTTTCTGCAAGGATTTTCATGGCAGTGGGATTGAAGAAGGTAGGTCCATGTGGCATGATTTAGATGGATTTTCCAGGCTGCAGCTTGCCTAGGTTAGCCCAGTTGTGTGAGCCTGCTGTAGGAGTGATACAGCAGGGAACAAACAGGAGAGTACCTGCTTTGCACATGGCTCCAGAAGCACTTCTTGGCTTAGTTCTCCAGTAATGCCCACATTACTGCATTATGGTTCATATCCCAGAGCATACATACCTCCCTCCTTCTATAGCATCCTAGCAATCTCGTGCTGTCTTTGGGGAATCCTGAAGTCATGGATCTCAGAGAGAACAAGTTGTAATTGACAGCTCAGGGTAAGTGCTATCTGGGACACTTGGCTGCTGCAGGTTACTACCAGTAAGTTGTCTGCAGCTGTATTACATCTTCTGAGCATAGACAGTCTAGTGCATTCAGTATAAGACTGAAAAAATTCTGGTGTCCATTCAAACTCAAATCATTTGAGGTACAACAAACAGCTTACTGATGTGATACAAATACAAAATTTACATATTCCATTTTCTAGGTTATTTACCCAGAGGTAAGTGGCTAAGAGCAGTTAATATGAGGTTGGGTGCTTTAATTATTTATTCACCACAACATGCATTTGTAGTTCATCCAGCAGTGGATGTTCAGATTATGTGGATTTTTCCTTGAAAGGAATCAAAAAGAGGCATTATTTTTTATCAGGTTCCTCACACTTTGTCACAATTCCCTTACTTTCATTAAAGGGAGATGAAAAATTCCAAACTGACCTTAAAAGAAAATACTAATTCTAAGTACTTGAGAGACTTTGTTGCAATTAGAGTGGCAAGACATATGGCACAATTTTACTGGATAAAGCAAAAAAGACTGCCAGGAGAAACCTGCCTAGGAATAGCATATGCTGTACAGGTACTACAATTGCATCATGGTGATCTAACACAAGAAACTTGAATGAAAATGATTGATTCCTATGCAGTAGCTTTAATTGGAACTTGTTACAGGAGTAGCCATCAGTTAGTGTACATTTAGGGTTAAATAATTCTTTTCACTGATATAACAGTCCATATTGGCAAAAAATAGAAAGAATCATGACAGTTTTAATTTTGGGAGGAGACAATTGAAATGGTGGTGTTCCTAATTTTCTCAAGTGGAGTCTGTGATATGAATCATTGTGAAAAATCAAAATTGATGTGAAATGGTAGGTGGTAAAAACATTCTGCTTAATGATTTTGAGCTGACTAGCTGTTGTTTTCATATAGCCGCCTTATTCTTCCTGAGTAAAATGAGTTGCAGAGAGCTGTTCTAAAGTATCAGTTAAAACAAAGGCATTAAAGATGGCTTCTTGCTCTGTTCTTAGAAATGGACTTCCTATGTCTTTGTAAGAAGTAGAGGGTTTGTTTTTTCTGTGAGATCCTATTGTCAGTCATTTCCTTACTGATACAATTATTCGTATCTAATTATTTTGGATGAAGCACTTATTTCTGCCTTTCAGTTATGAGAGATTGTCCTTAACAAAAATAAATAAAACTGAGTTCTAGTTCTGCTTTCTCCATTTTTTTTTCAGAGCAGGCTATTGACTAGTTAACAAATTTGATAAATTAACAAAAAAAATCAGCAGTTTAACTGGCTCGTCCTATCTCTGGAAAATGCTGTAAAATGTATGAAGCTAATAAAGAGCAGTTGTGAAAACATCACATATACAATAACATTTTTTTTTTCTTGTCTGTTTACTTGCACAGCTTGCTTTACCTACTAAGTAATGGTTAGAAGGATGAATATAGGACAGGGAAAGGCAAATCATGGAAGTGCCGCTCAATTTGTTGTTGCTGATAGTCAGCATGGCAGGCTGAGGAATGTCTTTGGAGACTGCCTTGCAAAATAGCACCTGGATTGATGCTCAACTGGGCTAGGAAGAACAGGATGCTACTATTTTTAAAAACATAGCCTGGTAATTTAACCTTAAAAATATTCAGCCTCTTGAGACTATTTTCTTTACTTGTCAGATGGGTAAATGTTTTTTGTGTAAGAAAAGTACATAGAGGTTGATTTATTCTGGTGCAATTTCTGTCCATCTGTAGTACAAACAGACTCATTTTTCTTGTGTTGCTTTAATGTTCAGAAAATGTTCATCTGTAACTTCTTAGCTTGGGAATTCCCAGGTGTTTTTCTGCTTGGATGATAACCAGTCCCAGATATCCTCTACAGCTTCAAAAATCAGGCAGGACTGAATGCATTTATATGTCATTGCTGCAGGTGATTCCCAGTTTATTTAATGAAGCGAGGCTTGCTCATCTTGCCTGGTTTTTGCTTTTAGTCCATGGGTGTTTTACCTAGTATTTCATTCTTTACCCTTCATACAGCAGAGTTAGGGTTAGGTCTACAGAAACACCCAGTGGAATCTGCTTATCTGCCTGTGCATGAGTGCAGTTTACAAAACCTTTCCTGGCTTAGGATGGGACTGCGATAAAATTGAGACACAGTTCACAACCTTTGCCTGATCTTAAGTAGTTTTACAGGTAAAAATTTACTGTCCTGTGTGCTTGGATTTTTGCTTCTGCATAGGTGTAAAATTACTTTCTTGCAAGAACTGCTCAGTTCAACACTTTTCTCATCCTTAAACCAACAGATCAGGTGTCTGGTGTCTTCAGTTCCCTACAAAGCCTGATTTGTTATCTGTGGTTGTAGGTTGCCTCATCAGCCTGGGTGTGAAAATCAAAATATCTGACCTGCTACTTAGGTGAGACTAGTGATGAAGCTGGGCTGAGGAGGTGATAGCACTTGCTCTGCTTCCTGCTGCAGCTGTGCCTTGCTGCAAAATGTAAGGCTCATAAAGCCTGCAAGATTCCTGAGTACTGAGCTTGGGTCAGCTTCAAACTCCGAAACTATGTCTAAACAACTTAAGGAAATTCACCAGCTTGACTTCTTAGGAGACTCACTTCCCACAGGTTGGTCTTTAGGATTTTTCCTTTCATTCAGACTCTTCTATGAGCTTCTGTATGCTAGTCTGACTTTGGCAAGCAGCATGATAGACTGGCACTAAATGGCCAGCTAAACTTCCCAGAATTTTTAGTTAAATTATGACAAAATTATTGTTTTCCTTGGGTCATAAGCAGCATGTTTTTGTGTGTAGATTGCAAAGACTTATTAATGAATTTGCATCATCACCAGCACAATCTTGGGACTTCTGAATTTTGTCATTTCAGCAATTGCTCTCAAGCAGCAGGTTGTATGTACATGTATGTATAAGCATGCACATGTTTATACACACACACACAGAACTTTTCTGGATCCTCTTTGGAACTTTGCATCTGTACTGGGGCACACCTTTAAAAAAGAATACTTCTCCTGATTATTTTTTTTTTTGATAAACTAAATTTTCCAAATCATATCAAGACAGCAAAAATAATGCCAAAGTAAATTAGAGGTCTTAATTTAATTATGTGTATAAATAGGAAGCCAAATTAAAAAAAAATCAATGCACACCACCCAAATGTCTCCAATTTCTATGTTTTATTGAGTAAGTTCTCAGTGTTGGCTCTGGTATGGATATGTACTGTGTAGTTACAAGTCTTTTAAAGAAACAGTGTTCTTATGTCATCATACTATATTTGCGCAAGATCCTTCTACCCAACTTTTTTTAAATGAGGCAAAAATAAGAAATGTCAGCTTTTTGGGATGTTGCCCAAAATTTTTTTTCTATTTGCAAATCATTACAATTTAAGCTACATTTAAAATATGCTTTTGTATTTTACTCTGGGGCATTGAGTAGGAGGGAGGGAATTCTAAATTGTCGTTTGATGTCTTACTCATTGTTAGTGGTCAATGAACCATGGATACTCATGAATACTTGAATTGTCAGCCTAGTTAGCACTACACCAACTTCTTTTATTATTAGGAAATGACAAAACTATACTTAAAATGAGAAATATCATTTTGACAATGGTAACATCATCAGATTAACATTCTTGGGATTTTTTCAAGAGTTATGGAACACAGAGTAATTGCTCTACAGCTTCATGTGACATTGAAACACCTCTACTTTGCTATTGCAATTTCCTTATTTATATACTAGCTTATACAAGAAGAGGTTAATTAGTTGGATTTTTTTAATAAAACAAATATTGCATCTAATAAATTCTAGTTTTAAATAGTGGCAAAGTTCTCCAAAATTACTGTATGATGTAAATATTACATAAAGCATGGTTCTGAATACAGTGATTTTTCCTGACTGTTGGATTTGTTCTTGGTGTGTGAACTTGGGTGTTCCTTACATCTGGCAGGTGAGTGAGCAGTTTATGGTGCAAGGAATCCTAGAGGTCCTGAACATTCCAGTGAATATAATTTGACTAATACAATGTTAGGAATAAATTCTTCACTATAGGGGTAGCGAGGTACAAGTTTCCCAGAGAGGTGTGAATGCCCCATCCCTGGAAGTGTTCAAGGCCAGGCTGGATTGGGGGCTGACAACCTGGTCTAGTGGAAGGTGTCCCTGCCTATGGCAGAGGGGTTGGACTAGATCTTTAATGTCCATTTCAACCCAAACCATTCTGTGATTCTGTAATATAATGAAAGAAACATAAACAGAATTTTAGTGACTTCATGAAGTTGTTGGAACGACTGGGACCAGATAGAAATGGTTAAGGGGCTTACTCTCTAGAAAAGCTGTTTTGTCCTGGGTCTTTTCCTGTTCAACAAACTTTTCAGTGACCTGGAGAAGGAGGCTGAGCTCTCTCATCAAGTTTACCAATGATGCCAAACAATGTGAATCACTTTTTACAGTGGAGGGAAGAGCTGACGTTCAGGGGAACCTGAAGAGGCTGCAGGAACAGGGTGGCAGGAACCCTTCATGAAATTCCACGAGGATGAGTGCAGAGCCAGGTGCCTGGGAAGTAAGTGCCCCTCGAAATTCTAGAGACTGGGGAATGCCAGGCTAGGGAGCAATTCTGCCGAAAAAGGCCTGGGGCACAGCAAGAACAAGAGCTGGTGGCATGCCCTGGCAGCAGGGAGGGACAGCAGCCTGCCAGCTCTGTGAACGAGAGCTTGGTCACCAGATGAGCAGAAGCAGCTCTTCTCAGCCAACCACGCCGTGCTGTGGCATGCTGTCTGGAGACCTCTGAGCAGCATAGACATTGGCCAACCACAGCAGGTCCAGAAAAGGCCACCCCGGTGTTTGGGGGCTGGAGCACTTCCCTGTGAGGAGGGGCTGAGGGAGTAGGCCTTGTTCACCTTGAAGAAAGAAAGTGCTGATGGGGGGGCCTCAGAGCAGCCCTTCAGCATCATAAGGTCATAAAGAACATGGTTCCAGGCTCTCCAGAGTCCTGTGTGGTGGGAGGTTGAGACAAAGGGGGCACAAGTTGAAAAGGGAGGTAGTGGTTGGACATAAATAATACTCTTTCACCCCACAATCCCACGGTGCCACAGGTTGCCCAGAGAGGTTGTGCATTCTCCTTCCTTGGGAGTTCTTCAAGATTCTCTGTTCTGACCCTGCATGTGGCCTTGCTTGGAGCAGCAGGTAAGACCAAGGACCTCCTGAAGTCCCTTCTAATCTGAATTGTCCAATGCAATGAGATCCAGTGGGGAGGATAGATGGCAGAGCTATAATAACAAAGGAGTCGCATTCAGGGAAGTATCCTGCAGTAGCTTTATGCATGGCTTTTGTTTGCTTGCCTTTTATAAAGTCTGAAGTACAGATGAACTTAGAATCATATTTAAAATAGTATTGAGAGCTGCACAATACAAAATGAAAGTATTTTAATACCACTCTCTCTCCTGGAGCCAGTGCATATGGGGACTCTGGGTCCAGTCTTGGTTCTGCTGGTCCAGTCAGTCCTTTGTTCTTAATACTGGGTGATGGGAAGCTGCCTAGTCTGCACTGGGCCGAGAACAAAGATGTTCTGCCTTGTACAACTGCCAGTGGTGCAAACAGACAGAAATACCTCCTGAAATCAGCACCTAGCTCCCATGTTGGACAGAGGGCCAGCCCATAATTGTTGAGTGCTTCTTGCACCGGTGTCAGTGAGAGATTTTATGGAAGGAACTGCTGCAGGGGACAAATTAATCACCTAAGAGAGGCTTAAAGATCTGAGTGCTGAGTTACTGACAGCAGGTCAGGTTTCTTGAATGAAGTAGAGGACTGCCAGATTCCCAGTTAGGTTTATTTTACTCGCAGCTGGGGGAGAAGCAGTGTGAATCCCATTTGAGATAAAAAAAGTTCTTTGCAAGCTCAGATTTGTTGTGTTTCTTCTGGTCCTGATGTATTATTTAACCACCAGTCCACATCATTCTCAACAGCACACCCTTTCAGCAGGGGCCTTAAATACCTGGCAAAGCAAGCTGGGATCCAGGACCTGTGCCACAAAGCAACATCTTCAACTTCCTTATGTGCTCAGTTGTCATCTCCATATGTTGCTATTAAACAAAATTCAGTGTTTGGCAAGTTAGCTTTGGTCTTTTCCACCATTAAGATACAATCCTGCAGATATTTTCGGGGCTCCTGCCTTTCCTTCAAGCCATCTTCGCAATAGCTCTGAAAGTGCCCTCTCTACCTGTCTTTTACTTCGTGCAACCACTCTAGCTCCATTCTTCAATAATTCATGATCTTGCAGGAGGTGCACCAAAATGATTTTAGCTACCTCCAACTTTTTTGGACAGAAAGATAATAAAAATGATTTCACAGTAACTAAAGTAAGTCAGTTCATTGGTGCAA